AGGATGTTGCACAAGATGAAAATGTGCTGCCTTGCAAAACAAGGAAAACTGTGTTTATCAATTATTTCTTACTCAGAGGGGGAGACGGGCTGTGCACAGAGCAGCATTAACCATAATAACACAAGACAAGCTAGGAAGCCATTAAGAACAGGCTGTGAAAATGCATCAACAAAAAGCAGGGCAGTATTCAAAAATAATAATTTATCTACTTATCTGAGTATTTTAATGTTCTTTGAAGGAAATCTATTATTTCAAATACAATTAATTATCCTCTTCTCTATTGCTACCAGCATATTTGGGTGGGGCTACTTTAGACAGGGTGAACAAAATTGTCTCCTTCCTTCTTGATAATTTTTCCAATTTACTCTAAAATTTCATATACTTTCACAGGAAAATATGATTATTATTTTTTAAAAAATCAAACAGAAAACTATATGCAAACTCATATGAGAACATAAAGATCCTATTTTGTGAGATTTTGACCAATAAGAATAAAGTTGAATATTTGGATGTATCTAAGAGTGGTACCTGTCACTTTTCCAATAACAGAAGAGGCTGGTTTTGACCCTAATCCAAGGAAATGGTTTATGTGATACAGGATATTGAAGTGCTAATTAGGAGCTGATAACTCCAATAAACTCATCTCCATTCAATTTAATCAGGCATTGTGCTCCATAATATTATCACTATAGTTACCATTCTATTCTGTTCCAGATTCATTGAGTAAGTATTCTGACACAGGTCTACAATATATTCATATTGTAGACAACAAATTAACAATGTAAAGGGGACATGAGGTTTTCAAAAGCCAGTGAAAACTCAAAGACCTCCTTCACCCCTTTCTTTGCATGAATATAAGCCTCAGCCTTAATTTACATGTCTTTTGTGCAAAAACTAAAGAGTTGTTAATTACCATATGTGAATTTGTAAACATGCATTAGACTGCTATTTATTTTTGGTTATTTCAAAATAACTTGTATTTAAAAAGAAATTAAGCATAATAGTGGGTGAAAAATGAAGTAAGCCATTCCAAATGAATATGAAAAGCTATCTCATCTAGTATTTGAACAAAAAAAAAAATCACATATCTATTAAATTCCAGACCTGGATTTAAAAGTTCCAGGTATACCTTCATACATTCAGTTAAGCTAAAGCTGGATTAACCATTAAGCATAATAAGCATCTGTTTAGAACATCAAGGAAAGAAGAACAGTACAGATTTCTTTCCCCAAACTATCATGCTCTTAACTCTTTTGCTGTCACACTTGAGGGGTCTTTTTATTTTTAGTAATTGTCTTATAGTATCTACCATGTTCAACTTTAACTCACATTGTTAAAGAGTCCCTCCCCTTTGGCATGGTGAATCACTAACTTTAAATATTTGGTTTGAAGATATCATCAGATACTGCATTGGTTTCTCTCTAGTGAAGAGGTACTTTTGGTTCCTCTGAGGGGGACCATTTTTGGGATGTGTTTTAAGACACCAGCTAACCTTGATCCAGACATTCCACAAAAAGGCAAGGACAAACCACTTTTAAATGTTTGCCTGGAACGGTCAACAGTAGTCAGTCTCAATTGCTTTTAAGTGGGTTCCTTTTAAAGATGCATTAATGAGTGTTACGGCCATTTAATTTTTCAATTATATACAATTGCAATGAATATACAAACTTACAATAACAGCAACTTTTTCAATGTGACGAATATTGGATTATCACCCTTAAAATTTCCAAGTGGAAGTAATAATTCAATATGTCTAATATCAGATTGGAAAAGCTGTGTTACAACATTATGATAATTTGATAAATTAAAATTCCTATTCAACTTTGTACAAAGTGGACGGTAAGTGGTAGAGAAAGATCTGCTTCTACCAAGTGGGTTAACTATTTTCAAATCCCCTTCATCAAATCATCCCATCAATGGAAAGCAAATAATCTTGGCTGTCAAACATTTCTGCTGCTTTGTTGAATCATTCCCTAAAGGATTCACTCTGCAGTCATTTTAGCATCCTGTTATGTTCTTTTTATTTTCTTAATGTCCCTCTGCCTAGTCACAACTATCAAGTCTACAAAGTGCATTTGAAAATGTTTCCCACTGGCTACCCACTTATGTGTTGTTGTGTTGTTAAAGCACTCAAACCAACTAGATCTTTCTTTGAAATGTAATCTCTGGCTGCTAGGATCCTTGAGCCAGATTCTGGTCCAATCCCATGCATATAACCACATACTATATGTTTATCCCATAATAAAGGGCAGATCTATTTGCTACTATCAAAGGTGATCTTGATTTTATTATTTATTCGGCTGGTTGGTGCTCCTGTCCATATATTGCAACAAATTCAGAACTGCTTTCTCTGAATTTGACTGCTACCAGTTCCTGCTACCACAGGAATGCATCCCTCAACTCTGCCCCTCTCCACTGATTTGTGCGCATGTCTGACTATCTTTGCATGAATCTGGGTTGGTCATACTCAAAGATATAATTTAACAGATTACATGTGTGGTTTTCTCTTGCTGTGAGGTCTTCCTCTTGTGTCTCCTGAAGGAATGTCACTAATTCAGAAAATAGAGACCGTATTGACCAGACCATAACAAATTTGCTCAGGAAGTGATCACTATTTATAGAGCAGTCACTGTCACTGCAGTTGTGTTTCTGTCCTTGTCAAAAGGGAAGGAAAGGGAAAGCCTTTAAATTGTTTAAAAAGCATTGGTCTTTTCCTTCTTTTCAACTGTGGGACCATCAAAAGAGGCCTTCAGTGTTTTTAATCTTTTTAATCAATGTTTTTAAAAAGATGTGGCTGTTTTGATATTGGTTCTGTACTCACATCTTCCTTTAAGATCTCTATTAAAATTTGGAAATGGAGTTTCATTGGGACAATACAATCTGTGTAAAATTCTTTTACAGGAATATGAGCAATTTCCAGTTTTATTTTTGCATCCGGCACATTTCCGCTTAATTCTGCAGCCAGATCTGATTAACATGCATGCCAATTCAGTTAGCAATTAATACTTTGGTGATAATAATAATAAACATCAACAATAGCAAAACAGGATATAAGGCAGGCAAGAGATAGAGATAGAGGAAGACAGATGAACTACAACAGGAGGGAAAGAGGAAAGCAGTTTAGTATTCTCAGAAATCGCAAAACCCCAGGAAATAATAGATTGGTTAATTAGCATGGCCAGCCCAAAAAACCAAATTAGCCTTTGGTTATTCCAACTTTAACCTATTGTAACAGCAGCAGAATAGGGGTGGAAAATAGGTGTTTTCTCCTCTATTCTGCACTATAAAGAGATTAATTTGGCATCTAGGAGTTATATATTCTGTTCACTATAAGCTGCTATCCATGAGCTTTATTCTCTTGTAAGATATTCTCACTAAGTTTGCTCTTGCATACTTTATTTTTTTCTTCTATTTGAAAATGTTTAGTCATTTAAATACAGTGAACTTTTTTGGGAAATATGATCAATTACCCAACTAATACATAATTGTATAGTATATTTGTCCCAGGAACAATCAAAACCAATACAAAACATTGATAGAAAATTGGATAAATATATTGCTGTAAATCCAACTACCATAGTAGATGAGGAAGAAAAACAATAAAAGCAGCAGGTCAGAGATAGGTTTCTTAAAGTGGTTTTGCAACACAGAAAAAGCTCAAATAAATATTCAGCTGGGACCTTTTTTCCCCATTAGGTCCTACAGGACAAGTAGCTAAAAGCCAACCAGACATCACTTGAGAATATAGTTTAAATTAATATCCACCATTGTCTTAATCTTGAGAAATAAGCCACAATTTTTTTTTTGCCAATAGCTTTTTTTCCCCCACTGATTCTCACAGTCACAGTCTCAATTTTTTTAAATATTCTATTGTGAAAGTTACTTTTTCGTATTTATTTAATACCACAAAGTAATCTGTGCAACTGTGAGAATTTGAAAAGGGGGAAACCACAGAAATAGCAGATTGAATTCATTATTCCCTTGTATTTCATAAGAGTATATAGTATTTTGAACAATGATGATAAAGAAAAGAAAGACCAACTATTTCATATCTCTCTCTCTCCCTCTCCCTCTCTCCCTCTCCCTCGCTCCCTCTCTCTGAACAGGACAAGAAAAACCTATTAATCTTGAAATTGTTTTTGTACAACAACATTTAGTGGACAGATAAACATCACTGAGCAAAATAGGCTGATTACGTTTATTTTATTAATCATACACTATCAAAATAATTTTAGAGTGGGTGGGATAAATGTGGTTTTTTTTCTGTATCAAATTACTACTTAGAGCAAATACAATGATGAAATGAGCCCAAGTAGAGGAATCATCAAATATAAAGCTCTGTTAGATTTGCAATGACAGGAGCAAAGGATCACATTGTATTCATTCATTTCTATGTATATGTCTTTTTCATTATTTCTAATATTTCATGCAGTTATCTCTCTCAATGAGACTGTGCCCATTAGCTTCAGGAATGATAGGCTTTTCTTTTTTTTTTAAACTAATGGAAAGTATCTGAAAATTTAGACTCTACCAATCTCAGACCCCTGCTGGAGAAGCCACAATCTCAGCAGTTCTCCCAAATCTACAGAGAGACTATCTAAGGATTCTAATATCCTCTTCCAAGATTGGATGTGCTTGTCTTCAGTTGGTAAAGTCCGACTTATCATAAGACCCTTGGATTGCTCTCCCAGAGATCACAGATTTGCATCCTTAAACTCTCAAACCACTAGTTTACTGTAATCCCTGAATTCTCAAAATAAAGCTAATTCAATTTTAAAGATGACCTTTTCCTGAAAAGCAGGCTTTGTCTTCTAAAGCATCTATGCATGACCCAAGCTGTGCTTGCTTACTTTCAATGGGGTGGTTTCAAATTGCTTAGACTAAGTGGAAATGCTTTAGTATCCTGAACAAAGGACTGCTCGGGAAATTTATAAAGTAGAAGTCCAACTGAATGTAATTCTGCAGATTCCTAAAGAACATTCCATCATCGTCATACTCACATTTTCTCTAAAGATAAATGCCAAGATTGCAGCCGAGAGTTCTGCCAGGAAGATTAGCAAAATAAACATGAAGAACTGAAAGAGGGAAAAAAAGAAATGTACATTACTGTTTATTTAGAGTTAACATCTGCCTCAACATTTAATAAAATAAGAGTAAGAATAGGTCAAACTGACTAAAACACATTTAGAAATTGACAGCTAGAGTGGAACAAATTTGCCAAATAAATAGCTTAAGAAAATGACTAGAAAATGTCAAATCCCCATAGTTGGGGGATTGTTTGATGCACTATTAAAGCTGTTGATCATCTGCGATATATGCTATTTTTTACTTGGCATGTATATTACATTGTTTGTAACTGATTATTCCAATACCATTATAACCAATCACTTGGATTTTGAAGTTCATACACAACAATACTTCTGGGCCATCTGACAACTCTTCACATACTTTGCATCACACAACAAAACAGGTTGTCCTCAACTTCCAACAGTTCATTAGTGACCATTACAATGGCAATGAAAAAAAGTGACTTATGACCATTTTTCACAGTTACGACTTTTGCAGCATCCCCACAATCATGTGAATGTCAGGGTTCCAAGTAACACCCCCCAATGAAAGAAGACTCCAAGGCTTGAGTTTCCTCAAAGTTCCATTTTATTAGAAATGTCATATTGGCACATCTGGGAAAACCCAAACCTGAAAGTTTCCAGGGTTTCCCCAGCCAAATGAAAGTTCAAATCCCTGCCCAGCACTCACATGTCCAACACATGGACCAATCAGGCACCATCCAAAACGGGAGATGCCTCCCAGTTGCACCATTGCAGGGCAAGTTGTCCTTGACTCTCTGAGAAAAGAATATTGTTTTGACTATATCTCACTCATACTCCATATAATCCCCCTTCCCATTTTCCCACAGTAGAAATTTTTACATTGGGAAATGTAAATTTTTTTTTACATTTCCCAACGTAAAAGATGGCTTCCAGGTCTGACAGTGATCAAATTTCAGTTGCTTGGCAACTGGTTCATACTAATTACCATTGCTGTGTTCCAAGGTCATGTGATCACCTTTTACGATCCTCTGACAAGCAAAGTCAGTGGAGAAACCAGATTCACTTAACAACTGGGTTACTAATTTATCAACTGCAGTGATTCACTTAACAACAGTAGCCAGAAAGGTCTCGATATGGGGCAAAACTCACTTAACAAATGTGTCACTTAACAACAGAAAATGTGGGCTCAATTGTGGTTGTAAGTCGAGGACTACCTATATTTGATAAATATGGGCCAGCCTTTTGTAAGTATCTAGTGTCTGCTGGGACTGCAACATCCAAAATTCTGCAGCCAATCCAGCTTTCAGAGGTCAAGTATCTCCACTGCTTTAAGAGTCATATTAATGAAGTGACGCTTTAATGGTTCGACTCGTTACAGCAGCAATATCACGTTTTTTTCAGGTTCAAAACGAAACCTGGAAAAAATAAACATAAAAAAGAGAATAGGTATTGAAATGGAAGAGAGAGTGAGAGAGAGAGAGATATGATAGATAGATGATAGATGATAGATAGATAGATAGATAGATAGATAGATAGATAGATAGATAGATAGATATTGAGAGGGGAATCCCAAGTACCAACATTTTTCTTTGGTCCAAAGAAATGTGCTCCTTTTCCAAGAACACTGGGGGGGAAAAACCCTACAAAAAAGATGCTAAAATTTTAGTTGCTGTGTGCCACTCATAGGCTTTCTTCATGCTGCTAGAATTAAAATTAAATACTAGGCCAGCCTATTTTGTAGATGACATGGAAGGGGAATATTTCGCACCTCACAAAAAGCTGCAAAATGGCTTAGGTACAAAACTACAAGCATCTTTTTAGGTGGTACCTTTGTTTAATTTCTGCATTACAAATGAGAGAGGGGGAATTATAGAAATTAGAGTTGTCAATTGGAGGAGTCATATGAAATGAAACTGCACTGCAAACATCCAATGTCTTTTATAACCCTTGGTGATGTTGCAATGATCAAGTGCTGGTAATATCCTGTAAAGCTGTAGACGGTGTGGGGACAAATATTTGGGGGACCACTTCTCCTTGGTTACATCTACCTGTTCCATCAGGACTGACAGGAAATCATGTTATGGGTCCTTCTACTAAGAAATGTCATCTGAAGAAGAAAAGCTTTTTCTGCCACAGCATCTTCCCTTTGGAACATCATTCCCCCAAAGTTAAATTGCTCATTACTCTACTGGCCTTTCAGAGGGATATGAAAGCATGGCCTTGGCATTGTGGTTGAGGATCCAATGATAGTATGGAGCCCGTTAGCTGGTTTTATTGGCACTTTATGGATTGAACACTCCCACAGATTAAATTTTAACTATTTTAATTGGTTTTTTAAAAAAATACTTTTCCATTTTGGTTGTTTATTTATAACTACTGTTTCAGTGGTGGGATTCAGCCAGTTTGCACCTATTCGGGAGAACTGGTTGTTAACTTTCTAAGCAGTTCAGAGAACCAGTTGTTGGAAGAAATCTCCTTTTCTTTTTTCCCCACTTTCCAGGGCTAATCCTG